AGAAGTTGTCAGTTGGATATTCTGCCCCTGGAAAAATCTCCTAGGAGTCTGCCTGAGTCCCCCCTGGCTTGGACTTGTGACGCAGTTTACAAACGCGTGGAAAGCCCGCTTGCTACTTTCCCCTCATGGCTGAGTCCACCTAAGACTGTAAATGAGTGAATGTCAATGAAAACATTGAATCTTGGAAAATGTGTTTTTCTCGTTGCCCTAAATTTGAGTCGGTTTTAGACTCAAAAAAAAAAAAATGTTGAAGCAAATGTTAACTTTTAAGAATTGCGGAACTATTTCAGAATCGCAATTTTATCTAAGATTAAATCAGACTTTTTTGTCTGGGTCATAATTATATATTTATTACTTAGCAAAACTGGAAAAAGAAAACAGAAAGAAAGCACAGAATTGTTTTGAAAGATGCCTCTCATTGTCAACTAGCGTTCTTCTCCCATGTTGAACTGTTTTCATGTGTTTTTCCGAGCTCCCTTTCCGATTAGCTGATTTTCTAGACCGCCGGCAACTCACTTTCAAATTATGATAAAATACATTTTAGAAAAAAAAAACTTCCTCAAATTATAGCTTTTTTTTGTTCCTTTTTAAATGTATATATTTTGACTAATGTTTGTGAATGAAGTTGCTAACATGTATTTAGTTTCATTTTGGCTTTATGTAAGATAAAGTTTTAAAAGTTTAAATATTGGTTTTAACTTTTATGTGTAAATGGTTTTCTTGTGCGATCTTCTAATTTAATATTAGATGCGTCTAAGCTATATCTGTAAATTAGAATCCTATTATCACTCTGTTCATTTTTTTGAACAAAGAGTTTAAATAAAGCCTGAACCAGGGAAAAGAGAAAATCCTCTATTTCTTGTTGAGTACCTAACAAGATTTTTATCTGAATTGCCCTTACGGTGCCTGGCCCAGGTGAAATGTAAGGTATCCTCCAAAGGCCGTCTTTGTTTCACTTTTGAATAGATTTACTAGGAAATCTAAATCAAGCCATTGTTATTCAGAGCCAAAAACCTGATTTATCACATTTTTAATCGTGAATAGGAAAGATTTAAAAAAGAAAAAACCCAAGTAGTTGCATTATCTTTCGGGGGTGGGGGAAGGCATTCATGAACCCGTAGAAGAGAGCCCATTGAAAACATCTAGCCTGCTCAGAGCACTCCACCAGTTTCCAGTAACACGTTTCAGAGGGGAAAGTTGCCTGACCACTTTATCTTGTTTGCAGAGCGGCCCCACCACTTAAATCGGTGTAATTTGTTCACATATCTTTAGGGTATTCCTTATTTGCACTTTAAGGATTTACTCGGAAGAGTAATCACTGCCAACAGAAATGTACAACTTTTGGCCTCCGTGGGGCTTTATTCTGTCGTGCTAATAGTTTTAAAATAGACGTGCAGCGTGGCAGATTCTAACCAGAGGGCTGGCTTTCCAGTGCTAGGCATGTCTCCACTGGAGACAAGTTTGAGTTCATAAAGCATTTTAGTTTTAGAAGGAAAATGATAGGGCACTGGCAGATAGATCGAGGGCGGGTGGAGTGTATGAAGCTCAGGAACGCCCAAGTTCTGAGTTGGGAAGTCTTGGGATTTTATACCAAGAAGTCTTAAACCTGTTTCCCTGTTGACAGAAGCCATCCCGGGGCTGCACATCTTCATAAGGGCCCAAGTCTTTAAAGTCATCGTTTTCTCCCAACGGAATAATATTTTAAAAACCATGAAAAGTTTTGGAAATGTGAGAAATAGGCTGTGCTGGTCTGACCCTGATTCAGTAATTAAAACGATCCCTCTCCTGTTATTCCCCGGGCTCTTTGCAATATTATAAGTTAATTCATATGGTTCTGAGCGATTATGCAAAACTAATTTGGACTGTCCAGGGGTAATTATCCCTGACACGGTTAATTAAATCCTTTCAAAGCTTCGTCTTTCCCTTTTGTAGCAACCCATCACTTCTCAACACGGAACTTCCTGCGGCTTGCTGGAAATCGCCCCAGCCCTAAATCTTAGTTACCTCCCGAGCCTAGCAGCTTGGCCCCAGCAGCAGAAGATTCCCCGCCCCCCTCGCGCCCCCTCCTCCCACCCTTTCCCCAAAGTTCAGCATTTTCTGGGAGAAAGGCTTCGAGCATAGATGAGTAAGAAGAAGTCTAGAAAGTCTAGAAAGGTCGGTAAGGGGAGGCGAGATGGCACTGGGCAGAGGGGGAAGTACCAGGGCTGCATCTTTCAGCATCGCGCGCAGCAGTTGGTACCCAGTCCACAGGCTCCCGAGACTCCTTATCACGCACTCTCCAGTGATCTTAACTAACAAGTTGGCGGGTTCTACACCCGGAGAGGGCCTCTGGGCAAGTAGACTGTGCAGTAGTCCGGGGTGGGGTGTCGTAAGGGTGAGTATTGAGTAGCAGGAGCGGCTCTCAGGCAGGAAGGTGTGGAGAATGGGGCGGGTTGGTTGGGTACCAGAGTTGGAAAGTGAGCCGCAAAAACAGCGCTGTGACCAAGGACAGAGGACAGTTTCTCCGCTTTTCTATTTCTCCACCTCTATTTCCGCGCGTCCTCTTACTCGGCCCTTCCTCCACCTCGCTCTCTTCTGCGATCCCCACCTCGGTTCTGCACTTCCAGTTTTCAGTTTGTTTGTTTTAAACATGACGTTTCTTTGGAGTCACGATTGCCTAAAAGCTTTACACAAACCTCATCTCAGAAGGACCGAGCCTTGTTGCTTTGGGCTTTAAGCAAACAGGTGGAAATGATGTGTTTAAGCAATGAGGCCTCGTGCTGGAGAAAACTGCCGCCAGGGGGGTGACTTCGGGGAAGCCGGTGAGGTGGCTCTGCGGTTGCTGCCGTTGGCGATCTCACCCTCCCCAACCAGGACTAAACGGTGCCCATCTCCCTCTCTCGCCCAGGCTGCCGGTACCCTTGCTAGGGCGCAGAAGAAGCAGAGACTTCCCGGGGTGGAGAGGGACTTGCCCGCCAGCCAATCAGAGCGCGGCTAGCTTGGCGCAGCGGGCCGGGTCCTCCCCGCTCGCCCCAGAGTCGCGCCCGCCCGAAGCGGCTGCGGCTTTCTCGCGGCCCAGCGAAGGCAGAGGGAGCGCCATCCAAACTTTATTAATCTCTCCCCCGTCCTTTCTCCCGCAGTCCAGTGCATCTCAAAGGTCAACCTTCTTCTTTTAAAAGACTGATATTATTAATTCACTGACAATCTCACCCCTTTTTTCTTTTCTTTTTTTTTCCCCCTCTCTTGCAGGAAAAAAAAGGGGGGGGGTAGAAAATAGTGAAAAGAGCTTTTTTTTTTTTTCCTTTTTTTTTTTTTTTTTTTTTTTTTTTTTTTTTTTGTCCTTCAGTGGGAGCGTTTAGACAGTCGAGGAGGTTTTGTCCGGGAACAAAACGCGGGGTTGGGAGGTTTTGTGAGAGTGTTGTTTGTTGAAGTGGAGCTAAGAAAAAGCGACGGCTTTCTCCTCATTGTGAAGAAACCAATCGCTGGTATTTGGAAAACTGTTAGCATTGTGCGCTTCTTCTGTGTCCATTGTGAGGCGTTTCTTTTCACAAGGTTTTTTTTTCAGCCGATCCAGCTGGCCGGAATGAATAGCGGTGCAATGTGTACTGGCTTTGTCCCTCCGGCCTTCAAGTAGCCCCCACTGAATAGACTAAGTTGACACTGCGTGACAGTGAAACAACATAATAAAAAATACATGAGCCCCTGAATAGGAGCAGGCGCATAAATAAATAAAATGGGTGACCAAAACTGGATAAACTGAATGACAAAACGGTGAAAGGGAACAAAAAGATATTTAACACGCTAGATTAGCATTAGAATGCAATCTACAAGGCAGGACAATTGATGAATAGGTTTACCCGCCAAGAAAGAAATGGACTAAATGCCCTTTGAATGGATATGCTTTTTGCAAGGGCTTTGAATAGATATGCTTTTTGCTAGGGCTGAATGGGAAAAGGTAAGGATGAAGCTATGTAAATGAGTGGGGGAACTTTTTATATATATTCTTTAAACACACACACACACACACACACACACACACACACACACACACTGCGGGGGGAGAGTGCCGCCTCGGGGTGTTTACAGAAGCAATAATTGCCGTGATTAGCATTGTCTGCAGCAGATAGAAACTGAACAGGTTGGAATAATATAGGGTAGCCGTAATTATTCTTCTAATTAATGGTCCTTTGCTACTCGAAGAAAGGAAAAGGGAAAAGAGAAGTAAAAGTTATGTAAAAGTTATGTTTCCTCGGGTCCGTTCGCTGGGATGTGTGCCCCAGCGAGCCTGGCAAGGCCAAGTCACATTCGCATCTTAGAGCATTCCAGGGAACCAATCCTGCGGCTCCACGGGGAGGGTCTCATTTCCCTTCACCCTGGGTTCCAGAGTCTCATACAGTGTCTGGCACATGATAGGTGAGCTCAATGAATAAATACTGTGAAATGAATGAGTGAATGAACGAGTATAAATTTATCAGGCGGGGAGGGGGGATCAGCCCCTCACGGAAGTGGGGAGTCAGCGCTAAGAACCTATCTCAGGACGACTTTCAGTTTTCCAATCTTGCTGAAGACTTTCCCCCCAGCTTACTTGGGCCACTGATAAAGACGAGATAAGTTTTAAAAGGAGAAGGAGGTAATGGAAGAAGACGAAAGAAAGAAAGAGAGAGAGAGAGAGAGAGAGAGAGAGAGAGAGAGAGAGAGAGAGTATTAAAATTACAGGAGCCATCACTGACATCCCAGTTCTCATTCCTTTTCCTCATCCTCACTGCTGAAGTGGAATATGGAGAGAGGAGAGCAGGGCTTGCCCCCCTTTTTAAGAAACACTGCTCACTCCTTTACAGAGAAGCATTTTTTAAAGGGCCCCATTCCTGTTTTGCCCCCCCCCCCCCACACACACACCCTTTCCGGCTTCTAGCCATCCTAGCTTGAATGGACGAGAGGGACAGGACTCCTCATCCTCCTTGAATAGCTAGCTGAAGGCTGCACACCACCCTGCTGTGGTAGGGCGCTCTTGGTTTCCCTGCCCTGGAGGCATGCACAGCGGCCCTAGCTACTAACTTCGGAAAGGTTTTCTTCCCGATGTTTCACTCCCAGGTGCGGCGGCTGCTGGACTGGCCTCCCCTGCAGCCCAGCTTCGCAGCCCCTGCCTTGTACCGAGCTGAGCTGCCTTTCCCTTACAGAAAGAATGCTTGGAACTGTAACTGTGCAGCATCCAGCTGACTCGTCCCTGCAAAGGTGGAGCCTCACACTGAACTGGGCCGACCTCCCGGACAACGGGCAGTGAGACTTCACAATTATGGCAAAAACGAGTGTCTCCAGCTCTCAAAACACACACACACACACACACACACACACACACACAGCAGTTCGGCCTGAATGCCAATGTGGTGGAAAAGCCTTGCTCATTTTAAAATGTAACTTGAGCCTTCTAGCTTTGGGCTCTTCTCAAAACACACAGATTCCTAGAAATGGGAAAATCTGGAAATCTCGTGATGCTCTCTGCAGAAACACCTGCAAGGAAGGGAGTCTCTTGGATGAACTAAATCTTAAGATTAAGGTAGTGGGTGTGTGGGAGGCAGGGAGCTGTCCGACAGGGTTCTCCAAGTTAGTGTGGCTGCTTGGCCTTCAGGGACATCCTGGAAGAGCAGGAAAGTGTCACCCAATAGGCAAGGGGCCCGGCTACCATGCTTCAGTACGCCCCCTCTCTCTCCATGCACGCCTTGCAGCCCCCCCAGCCCCCTCCTACCTCTGCTGCCCAGCATTCCATTCACAGATGAAAATGAGAATCAGCTACAGCCTTTTAATTCCTTCTGAAGATGTCTGCACCTGATTTCTCCCCCTCTGAGCTCCTGGTTTCATTCAGGGAGGGGTTACTTAGTGATTTTTTTGACAAACAAACCCACCCTTTACCTCACTGCTCTTCGAGGATGAGTTTATCATCATATTAGCCAAGGGCTTGGAGACACACGGCCTAATACTCATTTAGAGCCTCTAGGTGAAGAATTCTAGTGAGAGCCACTAGTAAAACCAGATTTCCTAAGGGAAATTGCAAGAAAGTCTTCCACAGCGGCGGCGGCGCGCCACCAGAGAGATTCCTGAGTTGCTAATTTCACTTGTACTCACACTTCCCTAAGCACCCCCTCCACACGCACACAGACACACCATTTTATTCCAGGGTCGCCCCAAGGTAATTAGCCATTTGCAGAAAGCCTAAATCCCGAAAGGAAAAGCGCTGTCAACTGTAACAGAGACCAAGTGGAGCTTTTCACACCGATGGTCTCTGCCGGGGCCACCCTTTCATCAAGTGGGGAGCAGTGAAAAAAAGTCAACCAGCCTTTGAAAAACCACCCTTCAGACCTCAAGCAGGGAGGAGCAAGTTTCCCATAGGTCAGCCCTCCCGGGATGGAGTTGCCACTGAATTCAGGGTCTCCCTGGGAGCCCAACTTTTCTTCCCCAAATCCTCCGCCAGCAACCTGGAGTTCTGGGAGCCTTTAGCACTTTTCTCCTTTTGCTCTTTGGATAGCTCATCTCAGTCTATACACACACACACACACACACACACACACACACACACACA